AAAAAGTTTTAAGGTGGAAAACTTTTCGTGCATGGCACGGGATGTTTGATAAGTGTTATATATGAGAGTTGTCTAGTGAAATCAAACCGCGAGCGGGTGATAATATCACGGCTTAACCTAATTTTACGAGTCCTATTTTCCATCACTTCATCGCCGCCCTTGTGATTCTTCTGTTTCGAATTGTAAGTAATTTGGAAATCGTCACGATTCAAATAATTTGGTTACAGTTAAAAGTTTTGCATCAGATCATTACAGTTCACTCAAAATTCTTGAGAAATCAGTCATGGTGATTCGGTATTTTGATTTTGGTTTGTGATTGAGTTGTATGTGTGGTTGTTCTGTTTGGATATGTCGTTGTTTTTGTTTATTGAGAAATACTACGGTCCCGAAACCATTTCGTACTAGAATTTAACGGCATATAATCGTCGGGAATAGTTGATCTATCTAACGGTTACACGAATCCTAGCATCTCTCTTGTTTATTTGCCTGTTGGTCATTATTTATTGTGGTATGTTTACATAACTGGCAGTGGCAGGGATAAAAAGAAAGAGTAAGCAAACATGGTTCACTACAATTTCAAGGGGATCACCGTGGTACCCACGGGAAAGGAGTTGACTGACATCATCCTCTCCCGCACCCAGCGCCGGACTCCCACTGTTGTCCACAAAGGTTACTCCATCTCCCGTCTCCGCCAATTCTACACCCGCAAGGTCAAATTCACCCAGCAAAACTTTCACGACAAGCTGTCCACCATCATCGAGGAGTTCCCGAGGCTCGACGGTATCCACCCTTTCTATGGCGACCTCCTTCACGTCCTCTACAACAAGGACCACTACAAGCTCGCCCTCGGCCAGGTCAACACCGCTAGGAACCTTATCGATAATATCGCAAAAGATTACGTTAGATTGCTCAAGTACGGAGATTCCCTCTACCGCTGCAAGTCACTTAAAGTCGCTGCCTTGGGTCGCATGTGCACTGTGATCAAACGGGTTGGTCCAAGCTTGGCTTATCTAGAGCAGATAAGGCAGCACATGGCAAGGCTGCCCTCGATCGACCCGAATACCCGTACCATCTTGATATGCGGCTACCCGAACGTCGGCAAGAGCTCATTCATGAACAAGATCACGAGGGCCGACGTGGACGTGCAGTCATATGCTTTCACTACAAAGTCATTGTTTGTGGGCCACACCGACTACAAATACCTCAGGTATCAAGTGATCGACACCCCTGGTATTCTGGACAGGCCTTTTGAGGATCGTAATATCATCGAGATGTGCAGCATCACAGCCCTTGCCCACCTCAGGGCTGCAGTCTTGTTTTTCCTTGACATCTCGGGCTCGTGCGGCTACACCATAGCCCAGCAGGCAGCTCTGTTCCACAGCATAAAGTCTCTGTTCATGGGAAAACCGCTTATAATTGTGTGCAACAAGACCGACCTGCAGCCGCTAGAAGGGATTCCGGAGGATGACATGAAGCTGGTCATGGATATGAAGGCGGAGGCCATGAAGACTCTTGTTGGCCTAGGAGGTGAAGCCACAGGCGAGAAGGACGTGTTGCTTACCATGAGCACATTGACTGAGGATGGGGTTATCTCAGTAAAAAACGTGGCTTGCGAGAGGTTGCTAAATCAGAGGGTGGGGTCGAAGATGAAGTCGAAAAAGCTGATGGAGTGCAGGAACCGTATCCACGTGGCCATCCCCAAGCAGCGTGATGGGAAGGAGAGGCCACCCTGCATACCTTCACCCATCCTGGAAGCTCGGGCGGAGGAGAAGGAGAAGAGGAAGCTGGAGAAGGATTTGGAGAACGAAAACGGAGGGGCAGGCGTGTACTCAGCCAGCCTAACCAAGAATTACATACTTGCAAACGACGAGTGGAAATCGGACCCCATTCCAGAAATCCTCGACGGGCACAACGTGTCTGACTTTATAGATGCAGATATTCTGAGGAGGCTAGAGGAGCTGGAGAGAGTGGTGAGTGGCCTACACGAAGAAGACGAGTTTGAGATGGATGGGACCGAGCTGACCTGTGAAGAACAGGTGGCCCTTGCTGAGATCAGGAAAAAGAAGGGTCTGCTTGTCCGGGCGCACAGGCTCAAGAAGAGCACGACCGAGAGCCGCCCGATTGTGCCCAGGAAATTCAATAAGGATAATGAATTTACTACGGAGAGGATGGGGAGACAGCTGTCTTCCCTGGGGCTGGACCCCACGATGGCAATTGAGAGGGTGAGGAGCAAATCAAGGGGCCGGAAGAGGGATAGGTCAGGCATTAGGGACGATGATGGTGATTTGATGGATGTGGAAGATGGTGGGCAGTCAAACAAGAGGCTGAGGCTGAGGTCGAGGTCGAGGTCCAAGTCCAGGCCTCCGAGCGAGGTGGTGCCAGGAGAGGGGTTGAAGGACAGCTCTCAGAAGATAAAGGCCCTTAAGATGGCCAAGAGCTCGAGCAAGAAGAGAAACAAGGATGCGCGTAAAGGGGAGGCTGACAGGGTTATTCCATCTTACAAGCCGAAGCACTTGTTCTCTGGGAAACGCTCCATCGGGAAAACACAGAGGCGTTAGTGGGAATGGGGATGATGAGATTATTTATTATTGGTGATAGCGAGCCAACTTTTGTGGTGTTCTGGTGAAAACTCTATAGCTGAACACAAGAAGTTAACTGATTATGAGACAAGGTATACGGTTCTATAAAAGACCTGTTGTGCTCTTACATAGGCCTCGAAACGTCTACGCCACTACATCTTATGTTGAACTATACGACCATGCTGATTGCATAGAATACCTGACGTTCCTTTTGGTTTCCACGTCAAATCGCACAAGCACAAGGGAGAATGCGACAATCGATAAGGTCTAAAAAAGGAAGTCACTATAGGTATGTTTCTGGCTTATCTAGTCTCACGTATGAGGATTTTCTTTCTAATTTTATGATGCTTCTTGTGATTACATTAATTGACATGGAACACCAGCACCACCAGTAGTGCCATGTTCATCTTTGTTGTTAATTTGATTGGAGATGTTTGTTGGAATAATTATTTAGCAGTGCAATTTAATTTTATCCTTTAAAGGCGATTTGGTTAGTTTTGTTCTCACTTACTTGCTTTTGGACTGTACTAAAAATCGGCCTAGACGCCACAACTTTCGCCACGTCTAGGCAGGGACGGACCTACATGAGGTCCAGAGGGCCTCGCAATTTTTGTTTTTTAAAAAATCATTACATATATACAAATAAAAAAATACTATAAAATATGATAAAAAATGCAAAAAATATGTAGAATATATAAATAATTAAAACTTATTCTGAATGCTATTTTAATTCAAAGTAAAAATATTATTTATCTATTGAAAAGTATACTAACAATCATTATATTTTACATTTCTTGATAAATTTTTTAAAATATTTATAATAATTAACTCTTTCGGCCTCTTAATTGTAAATCAATTTAATGATTTGTAAAATCTAAAATTTAGTTGGATTGTTAGATTTTAATGTTGATTGATTGCATGTTTGAATGTTGATTTATTACTTTAATTTTTTTATGCAATCACATATTTTCAACTTTATTTATTTTTTTATTAAAAAAGTGGTCATTTGATAAGTTCTCGTCAACAAAAATGCTATGCAAAAGTTCAATTTAAATCAATTTTTGAACAAAAAAACTTATTTATTCATAAATTATAGATCTTAAACTTAAATTATAAATACAAGAAATCTCATTTTTTTCTTAAAAAAAAACTAAAAAAGTTTGAGGGTAGTATGGATTCTATGTTCTTAAAAACTTGATGGCACACATCTATTAATATATAACTAGTGCGTGGCATGTGCCATGCACGGAAAAACATTATTGCGATTGCGTTATAAATTAAATATATAAATAAATTAATCAAGATTTACTCGTCGTTTTTAAATTAAACCGTGTTGACACAGTCCGAGTGGATAGACCGAGACTGGTTTATAATCAGTCTAGTTCACTTAAATAAAATATTTGCTATCGAATCCGTCAACACCAGTTAGTTGAACTGGTAGGATCGATACAATTTTCTAAATAAATTTGGTTATATTTAAAATTAGTTTAAAAAAATTATATATTTAAATAACATAGAGATAAATTGTTAGCAATTAATTTTAACATTTGAATTTTTATATTGTTTAGATGATTATGTGACACATCTTATTCAAATTTTGTTACAAAAAGTACTATATGTATATGTATGTATATGTATATTAAAGCGTATTTTTAAAGAAAAAAATTAAATTGTATGATTTTTAAAAATTAAATTCTATGATTTTTAAAGAAAAATAATAAAACTACTATATATGGATTGCATTACATGCTGACCTATTCTTTTGCTACTAATTTTAAGAAACTGGATGGCTCTTTATATAAGTATAGTTATTTAAATAAAACAGAGGTTTATAAATTATTTATCAATTAATTTTAACATTTGAATTGTTATATTGTTTAGATGACTATGTGACACATTTTATTCAAATTTATTACA